CATCTGATACAGGAGCAGTTGCTTTAGGATTGGGCCTCATGTATAGCCCCCCCCAAAAAAAAACACAGCCCCCCCACATGTCAAATCCCAATTTAACCCGTGTGTGTAACCATTAGCCAATAACCAACCAAGGTGACAACCGCCCACCTTATCACCTGAATCTCCTCCTAGAGCATTGTGTTCTTTTTAACCAAATATCTCGCAGAGGGGCGTGGGGAGGGGCACCTTATTTTCATCTAAAGTAAAAGACAGAGAATCAGCACTTTTGAAAAAGGGCTGAAACAGAGGGGATAATGGGATGCTACAATGCATGATCTGTTTGGTATTTCGAGCCAAACACTTCAGAGACATGTTTGTATATATCTGAGACCTATAATATATTGATGAAAAACAGTATAATACGGGACCTTTAAGTACATCTGAGTACTCCTCTACCTCTGAAGGCAGTAGAAATTATGGTTTAAAACCGGAAGGGAGGAGCCGTTGGTGGTGCAGCCCCTTCCTTTTCAGGCAGTGACGTCACGCTCCCCACGTCTAGTTATCAGTCGGTCCTCTCGTTAGCGGACAGTGAAGGTTACCTGCTTCAACAGTGCTTGAACGGCAACCTTTCAGCTGTCTTCGACACCCTACAATCCTTTTGATCACCCAGACCATCATCGACCACATCTAATTTAATTTAATTAACGCAAAACCTCAGCTATCAATCTTACTTTATCCCGAACACGTTAAGCTAGCTAGCTAACTGTTTGTGTTGCTAACGCGCTTCTCGACATCTTCCCACGAAGACCTGACACTGAGACTTGGTAAGAATTCATTTGAATGTTTTTTTATCAGTGTGTATTTGTTTGTCGTCGACGGCTTTCACGTCATGTGGGCCTGTGTTTGTTAGCAGATTGGAGGAGTAAAGTTACTGCTGCGGTTGTTTATCTCGGTGTGGCCCTGTTAGCTCTCCCTCCACCTGCGTCATTTTCCGGCATAACACACAACAACATCCGCCAAATAAACACTGCTTTGTTGTATATTTAAACCGTAAAAACGTCAACATGTTCCTAGTTCGTGCTGTTATGCGTTGTTTGACGAAACTGTATCCTTGTACATGCCAATTATTGTCGTGATCAAATGCCTATGATCAGGCTGTCCATTGATGCTTTTGCAAACAATTTACACAATGAGAATTTTGAGAAATAATTAGCAGCAGAATTTATTGACACATTTTACTACAGAACAATCTGGTAAATTCAGAAAAATATATCACTTTACTGTAACACAGTCTTGACACATAAAATAGCACAATAACATCTGACACAATTACTTGTCACAATAAATCGATATATTATATTGCCAAGCCCAAGCTGGCCAATATAATCTTTAAACATATTGTAAAGGTAATATGATTTACCATTTTGAGTGAGAAGATCTGCCTTGTATAACAAAATAGAAAGCTGTGCCAAACCTCGTGATAGTGATGTAACATTTAGATTATACTTCTGATGAAGGTAGGGCCCATCGATTGACAAACTACACTACCCCTCCGTTCGCGCGGAGGGTCCGCCACATTAAGTGCTGTTCCAAACCAACGAGGGGGGAGGGGGAGTGGGTTATCAAGCCCTCAAACAACGAGTCTGCATCGGTGCTGACTTGAGACCGGTCACTACCTGACCGGACTCAACGCTGTGTGTGCCCGTCAGGAAACACGCTGTTTACAAGTTTTGTTCCAGCAAACATCCACTGATAAATTGTGACGTTAAGAACCTCATGATAACCTCATATTTTTTTAACTTAGGATCATACCTCTGTTTAGTCTAGAAAAAGGTAAATGTGTGCATTTTATTATAAAGTTATGTACATTTACATATTTTACTGTTGCAAAAACTAAGAAGCTTGTAAAAATCAGGTTTAAAACTAAAAGAGCTTTACAAAAAAGTAACATAATTAAAGATCTTTGGAGTTTTATTTTAGTTATTCATTTTAATTTTTTGTCTTAGAGATGCTGATTTGAAACCGTTGTTACATGCAGTTACGGCATTTCCTGTTTCTGCCGGAGAGAGGGGAGTTTGTCCCAAAGCTTGCCACTGTATTTACTCCCTCCATCTGACAGGAGGGAGCCTCATTGAGCTGCGAGTGTCACTCCACGGAGTTGAGGGGTAGTGTGTAGGGCGTAGTTTGGGATTGTGCCTCAGTGTTTATTTCTGCAGTGCGGAGTGTTGTTTCACAGCAACCCACACTCAGATATTTATCATCAACCAATTCAATTAAACATGCAAATACAAAGCACTTCATTTCTTTGTCTGACTTATCTAACATCATTAAACAGAGTAATCCATCAAAGCCTCACATTTGAGAAGCTCCAACCACATGTTGTCAATAAGGAATACCATTTCTATATAATTGTATCCAACATGCAGTTTGACACCCACATATGAGTTGTGTAATTTGGAGTCATGTTTGTTTGTCTAGTAAGGATTTTGTTTTCTGTTTCAGTACCATGAGTTCCCAAGTGAGACAGAACTTCCACCAGGACTGCGAGGCGGCCATCAACAGGCAGATCAACCTCGAGCTGTATGCCTCCTATGTCTACATGTCCATGGTGAGAGTTCATTGGTGGTTACAAAAAGTGTTCAGGCATTAGAGAGCAGATGTGTGTACAAAGATAAGTGGAAAACCCAGGGTGACGGTTGCATAAGGGTAACTGCTTATACTAGTTATTTATTCTCAAGAAGTGATTCTGATTCCTTTCAGTATGGTGGTTATATAACCGCTGAGCTGGGTGTGCTTAAATGTTGTGTGAAGATAGTCAGGCAGCCAACTGTCATGATACATAAAAGCCACCCTCAAAGCAGCCATTTCATGAACAAAATGATGTTTAGATTATGGCAGCGAGCTTTTAGATGTCAGTTTGATGTTATTTGTTTGAACTGCTGTGAATCAATGATCTGTGACTGAGTAATAAAACGAAGGTTGAAGCTCCTTTTTGAGATTATGTACAGGGTGCAGCGCCTGACCTTAGAAAACATGCTTCTCTCTAAGCACAGCATGTCCATCCCACTCAGTTGATGTTTATAAAAAGGGATTTTTATACCTTTTTTTTAATATGTACAATTTTAAATTTGTAAACATTGTCCACTAATTTTCAGAAAGGCTTTATCCTGTGTATGTTGAATAAATATAAATGTGTTGTGTAGTTGAGATGGTTCTGAACGCTTTGTATGTTCTTTGCCATGTGTTTATGAGCTCGCATCGTTTTAGCAATAATCAATGACCTACTGATTAAAACAAATGAGCATGAACATTAGCATTTTATCAAATATTATTAATAGTACTTTTAGTAGTTGTGTATTTAATGAAACAACACAGTGTTTAGGAGCATTGTATCTTAAGACGAACGTCATTCGAGATAGGACTGAAACATGCATGAACAGATTTATTTCCACAATGATGCTGGGTCTGAAAGGAGCTACTGTTGAAATCCTTCTTTCTTTTATAACGGATTTGAAGCATATTAAACTCTGCCTGCACAGCAAGATTTAGCCGTTTGCTCTTATCATGGCAGCTAGGAATTTGTGCTTTTGATTCTTGATTACCAACATTCTGGTATTTTCTCCTTGCAGGGATACTTCTTCGACCGGGATGACCAGGCATTGAACAACTTTAGCAAGTTCTTCCGTCAACAGTCTGAGGAGGAGCGCGAGCATGCTGAGAAGCTGATGAAACAGCAGAACCAGAGGGGGGGAAGGATCTTCCTCCAGGATGTCAAGGTATGAGCTCATTATTGTTTTTATGTGTTTCTGTTGCAAGTAAATCCTTTTTTTTGTATTTTTTTAACTGAAACACTGGTTGTGATATTTCCCGCTCTGGGCGATCACAGCACATGTTGGGAGGGTAACATAAGGTCAAAAAGATATAAAGGGTGTGAGTGTGTTCAGCCGCTTATCTTTCAGTGACACACAAACACCACCAGTTAAACGTTAAACCGACTCTGAAGCGTTTAGATGGCTCTCTGTCTGGGTCGGATCGTTCTGCCTCTCATTAATAAGTGTCTCTGTTTCCCTGACCTGCTGCGTTGCAGAAGCCAGACAGGGATGAGTGGGGCAGCGGAGTGGAGGCCCTTGAATGTGCCCTGCAGCTCGAGAAGAACGTGAATCAGTCTCTGCTGGACTTGCACAAGCTCTGCTCCGATCACAATGACCCACATGTGAGTATTCAATTGTGCCTTTATGTTTGCAAAGCACCTTGACTGGTAAATGGACTGCTATATATCTATATCTATATCTATCTATCTAAGCAGAGTGGGAAAAAAAGCACTTGAATATACCCATGTGGTTCGTATTCAAGTACAACGTAAGCAAAGGTTACACAGGATCGATCGATAGATAGATAGATAGATAGCGCGTTTTACCCAGGAGGGCTGAGGTGTTTAAAAGCAACTGTACCCTGGAGCAATACAACTGAAACTGTTGCAAAAACATCACTGATAGATTCAACTTCATAATAATATCCTTAGTAAAATGGTCAATTCAACTCCTGTGTAACCTTTGCTTACGTTGTACTTGAATACGAACCACATGGGTATATTCAAGTGCTTTTTTTTCCCACTCTAAATAATTACGTTTTTCAGCTCTAATTTGATATCCCTCTCTCTTTCAGATGTGTGATTTCATCGAGACACACTACCTGGACGAGCAGGTGAAGTCCATCAAGGAGCTGGGAGACTGGGTGACCAACCTGCGCCGCATGGGGGCTCCTCAGAACGGCCTGGCCGAGTATCTGTTCGACAAACACACCCTGGGCAAAGAGAGCGCCTAAATCCCTCCAGATTACATTGGACAGCTTTCCTTATATATATTTGTATCTTGCTTTCAACTGTTTTTCCAAATATGAAGCCATCTGCATGCTACTGGCCAGTCGTTGAAAACTCATTTCATTTTTGCCATTCCCTCCATATTACAGTAACTTCACATATCAGCTGTTCCACTCAAAGCCCGCCTTTGTTTCTTGCACTCTCTGCTGTCGGCTAAACCTGCATCTTCACTTTGTATTTTCTGTGTTTTTGCAAGCAGCTGTCAATCAAACCAAATAAAACGAACCCTCTGGATTCTGATTTGTCTCTTGTTTAAATGTATTTTGTATTGTTGTCCCAATTAAACGGTAGACTCCACTGACACAAAAGGGTAAAAATAATCAGTTTCACTTCCATTACATAAGAAAACTGAACTAGCTCTTTAAGTAAAGTTTCAGTTAGGGGAGTAAAGTGATAGCTTCTCTATAAAGCCTTAATTTATAAGGTCTGTTATATCTTGAAAATAACATGTTTAAAAGATCTGGCTATTGTATTTGTATGCTAATAAACAGACAAAACATTTGGTAGTTGAAGTAGACACAAGAGACTGGTAATTGAGAAACAATAATTACAATGTTTATCTGAATGTTAAGGATATAATTACAGTTTTCCCCATCGCCTGTGGTTTCTAGAAAATATACACTAAATATCCAAAATAAGTAGCTTGACCTGAAGCTAATTATGATCATCTGCCATCTGTGTCTCAAGGTCTTAGCAAATTGTCACTTGTCTGGTTGGTTCCAAAGAATAGCTTTGTGTGACAGCATATGTTTAGAGCGTCTAAAGCTTAGAAAAAATGCATGTAGGGGGGGATTTCCAACCCAGAAAATTAAAAATGTCTAACAGGAAGTGTAAATGAAAAATGTGTGTACACCTGCATCACCACGAGTTCCTCTTTTCTTATTACTGTCTTGTTTTATTTTTAAGAGATACAGACTTTTGGTGCCTGCTGGTTGTTACAGGTTTCACTCCTAGGGGTGGTCTAGAAGCATGGTTTTAGATCTCACATAATAAATAATCAACTTTAATAAAGAAACCCAAGTCTTGATATGCACTGTTTAAACTGCGTGCTAATAAAATGTTACATTTTATAGTGCTGCCCTCCTAAATACACTGAGCTTAATATTTTAAGTTACACCCAAGGCAATAACCCACCTAAAAATACTTTAGGTGTATTCAAAAAGTAATAGTTACTGTGTGCAGTCACGTGTAAGATAGTGAACTTAAGTCAAGTCAACACCCAGCTATCATTATAAAATGGGTATTTATTGAACATTCATCAAACCACACACCACACCATGTTTATATTTCCCCCCCCAACACATTAGGAAAGTGGAAAACAGAGCTGAAGGAAAAACTTTGAGGCACATTGATGAAACCTCTGTGTTTTGTAAAGACTCCTATTACAAAATCAGGATTTGTTGTCAAACTGCCTGTGGAAAATATATTTGTGAATAAACAGCTCCCACGTCAGACTGAGGTGTTCACGCCTCTTCAAGCTCCACCAGCACACCGTCACAGTCTTTAGGGTGGAGGAACATCACTGGTTTCCCGTGAGCGCCGATCCGCGGCTCTGCTGACAGAGTTCTGATGTTCTTTGCTTTAAGGTCCACTATTGCAGCTTTGATGTCGTCTACCTGCAATCAGGAAACAGTTATTTATTTCTCTATCACACTTATAATCGTTAATGCACTGTATTTGCTGTATTGTTGTCCAACGTTTAACAGAGAGGGCTGAGTGGTTGTGATGAGGTTTGAAATGTGCAACAAAAGTGTCATAAGTTTGTTTTTATATAGCTTAACTAAATGTTAAATAGTTAAAAAAGACTAACCACAATTTACATTTTTTTTACATATTCAACAGATTATTTTTTCTAATTATTTGTACCGAGTGGATACCTAGAAGGTATCAGTGCTCTCTAGTGGACAAATGATGCAATTGTGTCTACTATTGGTTGACCACTGAATACATTTGTGTAACGCTTGTTAATGTTTGGTCATATACATTGGTAACATATATATCTGGAATAAGCTTAAATTGATTTATTAATCGGTCAAATAAATACATTTATACATGATGAATACATCCTGATGAATACATTTTTGTTTATTTCGCCAAGGAGGCTGTGTTTTTGCTATGTTTGTCGGTCTGCAAGATTTAGTGGAAACTATAGGACCAAGTTTCCTGAAACTTGTTTGAAGGTTGAAGCATGGGCCAAGGACAACCCATTAAGTTTTGTAATGGATTGGCCCTGGTGGAGATGTGCTTTCTTCATGTGTTCTTCTAATGCTTAGTGATGAAGACACATATATAAAATTCATGTGGCAATACACCAAATACCAAATAATAGTGCTATCATACCCTTAAGGTATGATAGAAATTCAGTTTCTTCAGAATCCGGGCCAAAAGACTACATTTTGGCATGAAGTGGGACAAGATGTTTGTTGCATTAATGTGCTGCTATTATTTTTTGGATACAGGCCATTCAGCGTGTCAGTGCCATCTGGGCCCTGGTGTTGGCCTTGTTCCCGGAAGACATTTCAACATTTACTTATCATTTCAATTATTTTTGTTCTGGCAGAAGATCAAATCTTAGTGGCAGGTGCGTAGGATAACAACTCATGACTATTTCCACAAAATCACTTTAACTCACTTTATTAACACTATGACTCAAACTTCAGACTTAAATCAGGCCAAACAGTATAAACTGTGTTACTAATTAAATGAATGGTGGTAGAATTATATTAGCATATATTTAATATCTTTAGGTTTCAGTGGTTCTGGTATTGTGTCTGCCGGCTCCCTGTCAATCTGTCATGACTTACTGATGACGAACAGAGCGACACATAACGTAACACCTGTGCTTTCCCAAGTATAAAGAGTCAAAATGTCTGCTGTCAAGAAAGGGTATTGTTCCTGTTATAAGTTTAGATTTTGCTTATTCAGATTACAGAACACAATACTTTGTCTACAAGACATGCTTTCAAAGCTGTCTTACCTCGATACAAATGTGGTGCATCCCTCCAGACTTGTTTTTCTGTAGGAAGCCAGCGATCGGGCTCTTCTCCCCCAGAGGATGGAGAAGCTCCAGCTTTGTGTTTCCGAGCTCCACAAACACTGTGTAAACGCCATGCTCGGGCAGGGGCACCTTGTCACTCACTGTGGCCCCGAGCACGTCCCGGTACAGAGCCGTGGCCTTCTCCATGTCAGGGACAGCGATGGCGATGTGGTTCAGCCTCCCCAGCTTCCACAGGGATCCAGGTAGGCCCTGATGGAGGGGGGCTGTCGTTGAATGTGCCCTCATGAGTGTGAGAGCAGAACATCTGGAAAGACCTGCCACTGAATAAACAGATTAAAAATACTGTTGGAATAGATATGGCTTTAGTGTTGGAATATTAGTCCTTCAAGTTTTTACATACAATGTTCCTCCTTTTCCTTTAAATGTGATTTAAGGTTGAAAAGACATGTACCATATTTTGCGACAGTCTCACATATTACTCAGTGTATTCTGTACCAGGTGGTTCTAACTCTTCAAATAGATGTTTGTTGTTTACAAAGCAAACCCATTCACAAATCCATCAGATTTAGTAAATAATAGATGTAGTGTGCATTATTGTACACACGTTCCCCTAAAAATCAGACTGCCATTGGTATCGAGTCTCCAAAGGATTTTAAATAAAGGTATTGGTGGTTTTGAACGAGGGTTTGCTGTAAATCATGACTTGAATGACTGACACACATACAGTAGGATAAAACAATGATCAAGAAATCCATCAGGGGCCAGGGCATAGAAGTAGAGTACCATCCCAACGCTGCAACAAGACAAGCTTATAACATTCATATGGTTCAACTCGAACAGTAACTTTGTGCAACACAGCCAAAGTTAAACACGGTCTTATTTGAGGTTCAATACATCAGAAAACGACTATACTGCTAAAAGTATGCACTTCTTCTTCTCTCGGTTTTTGGCAGACTGCAAACAACTTTAAGGTGCATACCGCCACCTACTGTACAATAGTGTGTATCACCATATAATCCTATCACCACTTGTGGAATTATACCACTGGGAATGTGTTTACGTTGTTTTAAATTCTTCCAATCAATCCTGTTTCACTCAAATACGGCATGGCCGTGGCCTTCCTGGTAGCTCTTACCCCCTCACCTTCTGTTCCCAGTAGGACTATCCCCATCAGGCTCCACTCCCTTCCTGCCTCTCTGACCCTGTCTCTTAGTTTTTCCCTCTCTGTTTTGTACATGTTGCCGTGTAATATGATGTGTTCCACATTTTCTTTCACTCCACACCCCCTGCATTCTTCAGCTTCGCTTTTTCCCATTATAAACATTGTGCCGTTTAATCCTGTATGATCCAACCTGAGTCTAGTGATGATGATCTCCTCCCGTCTGTTCCTTTCTGTATCATCTTTGTTATGACTGATTTCTGTAACTTGTGGTATCTCCTCCCTTTCTGATCTTCCTCCCACCTTTTCTGCCATATTTCCATACCCTTCTTCTTAATTATTGCTTTTCCTTCTCCTTTTCCAAGTGAAACTGGTATTGCTATTTCCTTTTGTAAAACATATTTTGCTAACTTATCAGCATGCTCATTCCCTTTAACCCCCTCATGTGCAGGCACCCAGCATAACTGCACATCTATTCCCCTTCTCTGAAGTCTCAGTAAGCAATGGTTAAGTTCAATGATTAAATCTTCTCAGTAACAGTTATTGTCGACTGTATGCTTTCCAAAGCAGATAGTGAGTCTGTGCATATCACCACCCTATCAGGTCTGACCTCTTCAACCCATTGTAGCCCAATAATTGCTGCGAGTATTTCTGCTGTATAAACCGATAAGTTATTTGACACTCGTTTTGAGATTAAAGTATGCACTTAAGACTTGATTACATATATAAACACAAACCAACCTGCAACCTTCAGCACGGCGGACGCCATGTTTGTATGTAGGAACCAAAGACACCAGCGGAACTGTTTCCTGGTGAGCCTGTTTACCTGCGACACAGACGGGCACGCATGTGGGTGCAATGATGGCTAGTGGAGATGTATTGAGCGTGCTTGAGGAGTGTGTAAAGAAAATAAATGCCAACACAGCCCACCCAGAAAGCTTTCTGAGGTAAGTGATTGCTGTCTGTGGATTTTCGATTTTGAAAAAGCTGTTAAATGTTGTTAAGGCTTCTTTTAAGAGACGCGTTTCAACTAGCTAACCGTTAGCTAATGCTAATTGCATGTACTTCTAGCGTTAGCAACGTGTATCTATCTGTCACCCTGTTGGATACTTCAAGGAGTACAACACTATCAACACTACAAAACTATCGCTTGCACTTTTTCACCAATGAGGACCGCAACAAAACCACCACAGAAAATTAAACTGTAGGCCTATCTACACTAACTTCCTGTTCCTTCACAGCTTACAGCTGACCTTACTGCATTAACAGTAGTGCTGTGATTGTTATACCTGTTATGTTGCAGGACAACCAGCTGCGGTAATAGTGTTACCTAAGGGAAAAAAAAGGTTAAATATGAAAATCCTTTCATATTTATCCTGAATCTTACATGACTAAGACATGAGATATCTAATGGAATTCAGAATCACATAGATAAGTCAGATTTAATAATAATGTATTGTAGAGAGACACTCTTGAATATGCACTGCGAAATGTATGTGTAGGTACCTCACCTGTAAGAGATTAAATAAAAAGCTGCCAGAAAAAAGATAGTTTTGGAAGATTGATTCGTGTGAAATAGCATCCTGTAGTATCTTATAAAACATTTATATAAAATACGTTTTTACTTAATATGCCATTACTACATTTTATGGGACCAATGGGGGTTTATATTTCAGGTGTGTCTCAACTCTGCAATCAAAAATAATTTTAACTCAACAATGTTTGCATTCTATTACATAATACCTACATCATTTTAATATTCAAGAATATCTTTATTTCAAGTGTATCACAGATGGATGTATTTCAATATATTGTATTGAGTACTTGTAACCTAGCACTGAACACTGAAACGTCTTGCTTTTAATAATATGCTAGACCTGTCATACTGATGTGTGATGTTTGTTTCCAACTTTTCAGCCTTCAGGATGAAGTGGCAGCAGACTTCACATCTCTCACTAAGACCCTGTATGACCTCCACAAAGCCCAGGAGCCTGCAGATTATAAAGGCAGCCCTTTGGATCAGCTGGTGGTGGAACACTTTGACGAAGAGCAGATTTGGCAGGAGCTGGAGCTACAGAACAACGCTGTACTGAAACACTTTAAAGATGTAGCTGAGGAGGCCTTGTCAGATGAGACGTTAAATGTGCTGGTAGAGGAAGAGGACAGTGCTGAGGAAGAAGTAGAAACTCATGATGAAAATGCAGAGGATGAGGAGGATCCACCTAGACTGTCTAAGAAAACGGCTGTGGAGCCTGAGGACGGGGCCGAGGGTAACACAGATGAGGACTCGGATTTAGATTTTGATGTGGATGCTCTGGAGAAGCGAGAGAAACAGAAAAAGCTGATTGGTATGAAAGCCTCCAAAACAAAGGTGGTTCCCTCTGAGGTTGATGATACATTCTTCAAACTGTCAGAGATGGAGTCTTTTCTTGATGTTATGGACAAGCAAGAAGGAAAAGATGATAAGAACGAAGATGAGCTAGATTATTTTCAAGACCTGCCCTCGGGTGATGACGACGAAGATCTCGACATAGATCAACTACTTTCTGCCAAAAAGCAAAAGACTGTAAGTATTTTTATCGCACCTATTTTTTGTGTCCTGATTGTACAGAATACAGAACAAATATTGATCATTGTTTATATTGACAGGTAAAGAGCTCCAGGAATCTCAAGTACAAGGACTTCTTCGATGCTGTTGACGGTGAACCAGCTAAAGCAGATGAGCAGTCAGATGGCGAGGATGACAGCATTGATGAAGAAGGTGAAGAAGATAAAGATGACGAGGCAGATGATTCCGACGGCGAAGAGGAGGGTGACGATGAGTAAGTGTTATTAGATTATATAAAACAGATAATTATGTGTGGGAAATGCACGTATGGTTGATTTCAGCATGTTTGTGTCTACCGTTTGCCAGCGATGAAGAGGGAAATCAGTCGAAAGCACCCCGTAAGAAAGTGAGCTTTAAACTCCTTGGAGACGAGGACAGCGAGGGAGAGGACTTGGTCGACATTTTAGGAGGAAAATCTGCAAGCTCAGCAAAGACTGAATCAAAGTCATCATTTGAGAAACGGCAAGACAAGGTAAGAAGCTTTAGAAAATTGATTTGGCTGTCTGTGTTGCTCGAATGGGGAGTCCGAATAGAGTTTTAAGCTGTTCAACCTGTTTTTTTTTTTTTCACGAAACTGTGTCTCATGGCTTCTTAACATTTAAAAACCTATTAATGTGTCATACCAACTTAACCGGAAGAAACTCAGCTAACTGACGATATGAACATTTTTTACCGAAACAAAACAGAAGTCTCACAAGAAGCGTCTAAATGAGCCCCGAGCGAAAAAATGCTAACACACTTAGCACAGAACTCTAGGTATAAATACCCTTATTACATATCGGATCTGCACAAACAAGATATCGATTAGCAAGCTGAGATTCCACAAATTAGGGGTATAAGTATCATCACTGAGCGATCAGAACTCGCGACAGGGGAAGCAAACACAGACATCACAACACGGAGCTTTACGAAGCAAAAACGGGACATTGTCTTACCTATGCTGTTGTTCTGATCAAAAGTTGTGTTCAATGGCATTAAAACGATAAAAACGCTGCTGAAGGTTAATCCATAGGTTAATCCAATGTGTCTGAAATGATTACTGATAATCCATCTTCATATTTATGTCAATAACGGAGTTTTCATATATAGTTGCTATGAGAGCTACCAGAGTGTATGACAGCTTCCGGTTTTGGGCATTCTGGCTACGCATCACTCATTCACCAATGGGTAATGTTTAGATGGATTTTAGGAACTTATTATATGTTATAGTGTGGATTCCTAAAGCTTTTAGTCTACTGTCCCATCATTCAAGGGTGGTTTTCACTATAAGTAATGTTTTATTTTTGGACGGACACTATCATTTACATTTTTTTACTATGTTCAATCCAATAATAAATAAAACAATTCTATATTGATTCCAACTTTTCAACATCCAACTCACAGGTTTATCATTGCTTTGAGAAAAAAGATTATTAATTTACCCCTTTTAGAAGTGAAGATATAGTCATTTGTTCTGGAAATGTCATTTTCGAGCCTGAGACCTGAAAAACAGGCTCACCCCTAGATTCCACCAGGTCCGTCTGCGCCGCGTTTTTTTTAAAATTCGATTTTATTTATATATTTTTTTATTAATATTTATGTTTTTCTTTTTTTTCCTGGTTTGGTTTCAACCAAAATATAGACTAATGCTAATAATAGTAATAGTATTAATAATTGTAAATGACCATTGATCACACCACCAGTTTGTTTTACTGTAAACTTGGAGGAAGCCAGCAGCGCAGAGTGCAGACTGCTGCTGCAGCCTGCTACACACCGACCCCGCCCCCCTCCCTCTCCGTCACACGTGCGATTGATTTATTGGCGACAGAACAGTGAGAACACAACTAAAGATGAACAGAGCGGCACGTCCACAGAAGAGTTCCTCGTGGAACTACTTCGAACTGACAAGTGCAAATGAAGTCAAATGCAAGCTCTGCGAAAATACTTTTTTTTTCTTCCTCTCCCGCGGGGGGGTGGGGTGGGGGGTGTGTCGAATAATCTATTAATATTCGCCAGGGCTGTTCGATTTTGATCATGGTCAGTTTCTGGCATCCCTAGTGGAAACGCAACAAAAATGGGCCGGGTTTGGCACGGCACGCTTAAACCGTGCTACGTGCTGCAGTGGAAATGCGCCATTAGATTACGATCAAATATTTCTTTTCCGATGTTGGTTCTTCACATTTCTGGAGACACATATCTGTTGGTGCCTGATTAACACCATATTCATTGTTTCATTCATGCAGCCAGCATGAGTGAAACTTAAAAAAGCTAAGGAGAGTGCTTGACGGATGAGACGTTAAATTACAGTGCTCTTAGACGGCAGCACAATATGTACATTTCTTTCTCTCTTCTGCTGCATATAATACATTCAGACAACACTGTGTTGAAAGTGATACAGAAATGGTGCTTGGTCCAGTCTAGTAAGAATGCTATTATGAATTTTGCATAAAAGTGATCAGGGTGCCTATTCAAACATGAGACAAACATGTTAAATAAACATCAGATTAAAGTAAAGGGGTGCATATCTTCCAGCTCTGTTCCTTCACCACCTGGACTTCCTGGATTGTGTTTTTATTTCACTCTGGAGGTCACACACGCCCATCAACGGAACCCCTTGTATTGTTTTAGAGAAGGGCTGATTGCCGTCTGAAAGCCCATTAATAACATTTATTATATAATATTGTTGTCGTAACCTGCAGATGTCAGAGAAGATCGATGAGTTGGAGAAAGCAGCTCTAGCAACGAAGCCGTGGCAGCTGGCCGGAGAGGTGACGGCGCAGACGCGTCCGGAGAACAGCATGCTGGAGGAACATGTGGAGTTTGAGCAGACATCCAGGATGGGTGAGTAACTCTCTTCTTTTGGGCCATGCATGTTATTTGGTATTTATACAATTATTCACCATTGTTATATTTGTATTGTTTCATTAAGAATATTAAAATCGCAAGAACAAATGTTTGTGTGTTATTTCAGAACAGATAACAACAATGTATCTGTGTTCTTTTAGCACCTGGTATCACAGAGGAAACCACACTACAGCTTGAAGACATCATCAAACAGAGAATAAAAGACCAGGTTAGTCACAAGAAAGTGTTTCTTTTTGTTTTTGGAATAAAACTAAGGAGTTTTTTTTTTTTACTGGTCATAAACCTGTCCCTTTTGGCTTGTGTCTCTGTAAGGCGTTTGATGACGTGGTCCGAAAGGAGAAACCCAAAGAGGAAGTGTTTGAGTACAAGAAGAGACTTACGTTGGACCATGAGAAGAGCAAACAAAGTCTAGCAGAAATCTATGAGCAGGAATACCTCAAGCAGAATCAGGTTTGACATTTAATCTTGTTTTCACTGCTACTCTCTCACACATACGAACCGCATACATTATTTTTGTATTTTCTTCTGATTTCAGAAAAAGACAGAGGAGGATAACCCATCCCATGTAGAAATTCAAAAGCTTATGGACACGCTCTTTCTTAAGCTGGATGCTCTCTCCAACTTCCACTTCACACCTAAACCAGTAAGATTTGCCTCTTGTGCCTCAAATATTGAGATGTGGTATATGTTGTTAACAGTGAAAGCGTCTGCAAATTGTAGAAGTTAGTCTCAACCCTTAACAGAATTCAGAGGTTTCTTGAGCAAAAACATGTTGTGTAGGATTTGTACTCTAGATCTAACTCTGGTAAATGACATCTACAATTTGGTTTGTGACTCTTAATGCATTATAAAATGGTGAGGCACAATACATACCTAAACTGATAATTTGAACATATCTTAAAAAAAAATGTTTCCTGTATTGAAACCTGCGTTCGTGTTTCTGTTTGTCCACAGCATGTTCCCGAGGTCAAAGTGGTGTCTAACCTGCCGTCCATCACAATGGAGGAGGTGGCTCCAGTCAGCGCTAGTGATGCTACAATGCTGGCACCAGAAGAAGTCAAGGTTTGTCACAGATTCATTTTTCAAACATTTATCTTGATCTTGGTATATTCTGTTACACTAACAATACTCTCCTCTGACCATAGGAGAAGAACAAAGCAGGAGACCTTATGGGTGATACTGAGAAGAGTTCGACAGACAAGAAGCGGGAGAGACGCCACAAGAAGATGGTGAAGCGTGTAAAGATCCAGGAGAAAGAAAAGAGACAAAAACTTAAAGAGGCCAGTAGAACCGATGAGAACAGAAAGCTGTCCAAGGCTGAAGTTGCAGAGAACCTGAAGAAACTCACAAAAGGAGGCAAAGCCACAATACTCAAGGTGAGTGTCTGTTTACATGTTCTCACATTGCTCAGATCAGTAAGGATTCAGCTCCAGTATTGCTCCCACACCTCAGAGTACAGAATCAGTATTGGCCTGTTCCAAACTCTCAGGTTTTTGAGATACTTGTACTTTGAGTATGCCAATTAGTACTTCTACGTCTCTACATTTGACAGTTTTATTTGAAAACGTTTGCACACAAAACTCATGAACACTTAAATATGTCATTACATTAAATGTAGCTGACGCTTTTATCCAAAGCCACTTACAATACAAAGTGCAATCACCATGTGGATAAAGGTTCCAAATATGATGTATTTGTAGAGATCATACCACTCTAAAGTAAATACAAAAACCTTACAATTAGCTGACTCCTGAGACTCCTACAGCATTAAAATGATGTTTTACATGTTCAAGCAGAGGTAATAGCAGTATGAAGTGAAATTTAAAGTACATCTGTACTTTTATTCAATAAACGTTTTAAAAGCAAGCAGTTTTTCTCTGGAGTTGTTACTTTGGTGTTAGTTGCATGTTCCTGCTTTTACTTCAAACACTTTTTAATGCCAGATTCTTAGTTAATAAATACAATTGTGTATTTTCCTAAGGCTACTTAACTAATCTTGATGTTCCCTTGTTTCAGGACGAGGGGAAGGACAAGGCTCTGCGGTCCTCTCAAGCTTTCTTCTCTGAGCTGCAGGACCAGGTTAAAAGTCAGATCAAAAGTGCAAAGGACCAGTCTTCAAAGAAGAAGAAAAACAAAGAGGTTTCTGTCAGCAAACTCAAGTTGTAACAACTGGGACATTTTGTTGAAGACCAATGTTTTATTGTATAGATTCTTTTTTTTTTATGAGAAAGCGGCAATATATTCAATCTGAAAGTCCTTGTTTAATGTCTCCATTTTCAATAAAATCAAGTGAGTGCCCAGATGTGTTTTTGATTTCATAATTAGTAGAGCATTTTAAACTGCTATAATACATGTTAATTCACAGGAAAATACCACCTAATATACAGTTCTTGTCTAAAGACCCACGGGTTTTCAAGATGTGTAGAAATATACACATAACTGGCTAACAATAAGGTATGTGTACATAAGGTATGTGTACATAGAGTTAACATTTGCACAAATTAAAAATCTATAGCCTTTACATTTTTAATAAGTATGAGTACTGCTAGTTTATTGAATGTAACAATTAACTTAAGTTCAGTAGTTTGTGTAGTGTTTTGCATGTTTGATAACCAGTACATGACAAATATGTGCCTTGTGCAATATAAAAGTCAGACAGAGACTAAACGCAGTGCGTTTTTCACTTGTATGGTATTCCTCTCATGACAAGCAAGAAAATAAAATACCTTGGCCAGTTTCATGATGATTCAAATGATGAAATGTAAACTATATTTTATGGCCAATATGTTACTTAGAAAGGTTAGTATGCGTTTTATCAATGTAAATTGTTATTTACAGCTTTAGCCACACCTTAACAGCTACAGGAAAAAGTATTATGTAAGGCTCATAGCTGCTAACAATGATTCAATGAGGTAGTTTTCTTCAGGTTCCCAAACAGTTAAGTTACTTCAACGGTCAGTTTGTGATGTTTCACTTATTGTGTTCTGTTGTACACTTTTATGTCGCATGGATTAGTTTGACAAAAGCATAAATATAGAGCCCTAATCCTGCCCTAAAAAAAGCTACATATGAATTGTTTTATTTGTTACTAAATTATGAATAGTTGTGGGTTTATCATGTCCACTTTTCCTTTTTTATGGCTATGGACCTTTTGTATAGTTTGAATTGAAAGTTTAATATTTCTCTCTAACGTACGACGTATAATAAAAGATACACCTGAAGTACTTTAAGATGTAGGTCTAAGTAGTAATAGTACTTTTTTTAGCCTACTACAGTACGTGATCGTGTTTCGGTCACCTGTCGTTGACGCCCGAAGACCCGCCCCTCCAGAAAAAAAGACCCATGACGTCACCACAGATCATCACGGAAGTGAACTAGACGACGAAACCAAACAGACAGAAACCCACATAAGTTGTTGTGGTGTACGCTTCACTAGCATTTACAGGTGAGTTACTGTCTCTTTATGATCCGTTTAACGTTTTTAAACTATCCAAGTGTTTTAACTACTTTGTGTGTCTGATATGTTTGTTTTGTTTTTGCTAGCATTGTAGTGAGAGCTAGGTAGCTAACTGTTAGCACAAACGATAACAGAATAGACTGCTAACAAAGCCATTTCTAGTTAACAGTAAATGTAGGCCACACGGATACAGGGTTTCTAAACGTATAAGCAATAGTATGGACAATTCAGTTGATGACAAAAACTAAGAAATTGAATAGATAACATGATAAAGCTTAAAATAGCGTGACATAGGTAACGTGAGCTTCCCTAGCTGTTCGTCGCGTCGGGCTAAAGCTAACTGACATGAGCTGTCAAACATGTAGGTAGTTTGTGTTTGTTAACCTCCTGTTTTCGTTTGCGTGTTGGGATTGTTTGGAGTAAATCTGCGCAGTCATAATGTTTCGATGATTTGGTCATGCTCACATGATTAAGTGACTCACAGGATCAGAGTTAGGGGGCGAGGTCAGATGGATTCTTTAGGTTGACAATGGATGTATGATTCCGTGCTTATTTTTTGCTATTCTCATTGTCTCTCTCCCGCAGATAGTCTATAATCATGCTGGGAGGAGGTTTCAAAGCAGAGAGGCTAAGAGTCAACCTGCGTCTGGTCATTAACCGACTCAAACTCCTGGAGAAGAAGAAAAGTAAGTATTGTAATGATTCAAAAACCTTAAGTCTATTATTCCACAGTTGATGTGGAATGATTGGTTTTATTTGTCTGTTCATCCCTTTATTGACCGTGTACTTTCTCCAATTCACACATTTATAATGAAGCTGAGCTTGCTCAAAAGGCAAGGAAGGAGATTGCAGATTACCTGTCTTCTGGAAAAGATGAGCGGGCACGGATCCGTGTGGAGCACATCATCAGAGAAGACTATCTGGTGGAAGCCATGGAAATCCTGGAGCTTTACTGTGACCTGCTGCTGACTCGCTTTGGCCTCATACAGTCCATGAAGTGAGTTTCTAACCAAAGAAGTGCACTATACTACTTTTATTTAACATACTGACGCACATTGTCCAGGAAGTGACCTCGATACGATAAAGACAAGCAATGAATCTACAGAAAAATAGTTGCCAACTATTTTGATAATCGACATAAGTCATTATTTTAATGCAATATAGGCATAAAACGCTTTTTCAACCTCTCAAAGACGGAGCTCATCGTGCTTTTCTCAGTTTGAACTGAATATTTCTGGGTTTTGGAATGACAAAAGAAGGATTTTAAATAGAATCCCTTCGACTTTGGGAAACTGGGATGGACATTTTCACATTTTATCTGACATTTTTGGAACAAACAATAATTGTATATGCTGGAGCCCTCAACTATGGAGAGTGTGAGGGTTACACTTTATTAACGTTTTTCTCGGGCTGCGTGTTCTTTTTAACCCTTTATGTTCCTCCAATCAGGGAACTGGACCCAGGCCTACAGGAGGCAGTGTCCACCCTCATCTGGGCAGCGCCTCGTATCCAGGCAGAGGTGTCTGAACTTAGAACTGTAAGTACTGTCTATACAAAACATGGTACTGATGGCAACACTATTTAACAAGTTCTGTTGTATTTTTTTACTGTTATGACATTTTTATCTCTAAATGATTCTATCAGGTATCCGAGCAGCTCTGTGCAAAATACAGCAAGGAGTACGGAAAACTGTGCAGGACAAACCAGATTGGCACAGTCAACGATAGGGTAGGCACTTTTTCCACTAACTGGCCATTAGTCTGTTCAAGAATGCATTAACCTTTTTGCCTGTTATCTTTTTATCATCTGATCAACTATTTGATGTGTTTATAGCTGATGCACAAACTGGGTGTGGAGGCCCCGCCCAAGATCTTGGTGGAGCGCTACCTGATAGAGATCGCCAAGAACTATAATGTGCCGTATGAACCTGACGCCATGGTTCGCGTGAGTGATAAATAATCTATTCTATAATTCACTATGAAAGATGAAGTCATGCATTTTGTTTATTTACCCACTCATCCCCCCCTGTGTCCTGACAGCCTGAGGTGTCTCTCGGAGAGGAAGCAGACCTGATTG